GGGCATGCTGAGTCTATCTTCTCTGTCTATGGTCCCATCAATACTTCGAGACATCCGATTTTGATGTAGTCAGTGAAAACTTCGGCTAGCCCACCCGGACAAATGTTTGCAACAGTTTCGTCAGATCTACGCAGAGAGATTATCGAAACAATTACTACTGACATCTTTAACGAACGCACAAGTAATATTTTATTTTATTTGTACACATATTCAATATCCAAGTGTGTTCCCTTCGGGCCTTATCTTATCTGCTATTATATGTATATGTGTCCAGATAGTCCCGGCATTCTGAATTCAGGCGTAACTTCCTGTTGTGTCCAAATTTAATTTATCTCTGCACTTTATATATGTCTCCCATTCTATATATTAACCTCGCGCGGTTAATGCGTTACAGTGTTACACTAAACAAAACAAACGAAACGTTGTAAGCACCCGAGCTCGCCATTTAGAATCGGGAGTAATAAATGTCAGTGGCATCTCCCCGCGACCGGCTAGGAAAATAACGTATTGAAATAGTCAATTGAATTGTATATAAGAGCTGTTAATCCAAGGGGGTAACCACGTAACGTAATCATGGGACAGCGTTTCCGAAATTATTATGAAATTCTTACGAAATTCCCGTACAATCGTTTTGTCTTTATTTTCAAGTTATTTCTTAACTTGTTTTCATTTTCCCCCAAAATTTACTTCTTTTAGTGAATATCCAAGTATATATCACAGTTCATACCCATAAGCGCGTTTTCTTAGTCTTTTAACAATAAGATTGAAGCAGTTGCTGTTAGAACAACAGTGAGTTGAAACATTGACACACCTTTGCATGCAGTTTTTCGGGACGAGAAACAGGAGATACAAATACTTTACCTTCTTGTTAAGACCACGGTTAGACTAGTGGGACAAGGGAGAAGCGAGGAAACACGGTTTCTACCTAACCGAATACTACAAACTTAACTAAAATCACTTAACAAGCAAATGCTTATTAGTAAAATAAAAAATATAGTGTTTTGAGGAAATCCAATAGCTCTTTAACGTCACATACTTTTAAGCGTGTGCATATAAGAAAATTATTTGTAATTAAATAAAATTATTTGTAATCAGATGAAATCATGTAATCGATGGGACAACGTTTCAGCTAGTGGTTACCCCCCTTGTGTAAATCATATCAAATGGACTGCACCGAATCGTTATCATATATGAATTAACTTATATTGATTGGGCGCTTTCACGAGCAATTATAATATTATTAAGGACAAGTTATATGGAGAGTTTGCCACGCAGCGGCGGTATGAAAGGGAATCGTTACGTGCGCTTTATGTCCGACTTCTGCTATCTCACAGGTTTATGCACCTCACGGCAATTACCGCGTCACAAACCGCGATCGGTGCGTACGGTGCGGAGTATCGTTCGCCACAGGTACGCGCGCGGTACCACGACACATTCGGTCGCGTGGAGTCGCGGCCGACCGTAGTCCCGTAACTATACGCGTCGCGTCGTCGCGTACGCATTGTGTAGTAAAAAACGTAGTACGCGTAAACGAGGCGAAACTCCACAGGCATAGGTTTCGTGCACCAAGGACACACTATCTCCTACGTGGCTCTACTCCCACTGACCCCTTGCCGCCGCGCCCTCCCCCCGTTCACCTACGTTCTCTCGCTCTTCTCTCACAGTCGATCGCTTCAAATTGTTCGCCGGAAGCGACCCTCATTTTTCCACGTACCCGCGTACGCACGAGGAATCTCTAAAGTCGGCGAATAACGTGAAAAATAGGAGTTTAAGGAATTTTTATGAGATTTATATCCTCGATGGTGGGCGCGTAGAAGTGACGCATTCAGTCAATCCTCCAGCCGGACTCATTGAATGCTTCGGATCCTATCGCTTTTCGATAATGATATCAAAATGTCACATTTATAATCGAGTCAAAGCAAACAATTGTCAGACTTATGACACCTTGAATATTCCTTTCATTTATACAATTTATATAGTATGTCTAAATTATCGAGATGTTACATATAAAGAACTAAACCTAGCGAGGAAAACGTGAAACAAGCTATTTCATTTTTAAAAATCAACTTTAAATTCATTAATAAGTAAAATTTATATTTTTTATCTTTGTATTATTCCATATCTCTCTCTCTCTCTCTCTCTCTCTCTCTCTCTCTCTCTCTCTCTCTCTCTCTCTCTCTCTCTCTCTCTCTCTCGCACTTTGCTTTTTATTTATAAAAACTGATAAGAGCGTCCAGACAAACTGCTCTGTCTGTGTTAGTAACTCGAAGAGAAAGGAATTTTGCTTATCAGGTGAATTTTTCTTTCGAAAGGAAACGAAAACCGTTAAAGTGTATACAATTCTTTCTTCGACTAAAACGTTAGCTATTTAGATACCGTTATTTGTCCCTATTTAGATACCTATTTGTCCCAAGCACATTCTTACATCAAAAAAATAATCTCTAAATGAGTTATGACGTCGCGTCGTCCTGATCTCAAAAATATAAATATTGTCATATGATATCGTGTCTGAACTTCATTTGGCTATAAGCTCTCTATGAGGCTCCTTAGAGAGTGTTGTCCTTGATAATTCGGGCTTTCGCGAGCAAGAACGGCGACAACGACAAGTTGTTCGCTCGCCGAGAGCCGAGTTCGGAGAGAGACTCGTCGGCGAAGAGCAACGTGGAGGAGCTCCGGTGTCTCGGACGAACGAACGAAAGCGAATGGGACCGAGCTGCTCCGTTCGTTCAGTGTTGGGTCGTGTACAAACGGGGCCCAAGGCCGGCAGAATCGAGCGTGAGTGCTCAAAAATACGATATTTAACTTTCTCACGAAGAAAACGCGTAACTTTGCGAATATTTCTACGCCGGGGCGCGACAGCATTGCGCCCGAACCGCGAGAGTCAGTCGAGAACCGATCGCGCGAGCTCTAACGTTTCTAGAGTTTCAGGAAATTTATCCAAGTTCTTATTATAGCCACGTGAACTTTAATATTTAAAAACCTTTCGAGCATTCGAGGAAGAGAAGATTTTTCGTCTGTCGGACTTTATACATGAAAAAGTGTCAGGAACTTTTTGAAGCTGTTAAAAATTCCATAAAAGAATATGATCGATTCCTTCCGAATTATTCGAAAGAGCGACTCTGATCATCTTGAACGCCGAATGCTAGCGATTCACCACAGTTAGCAACAGGTTGCCGTATTCTAAGAACACGTGGAGCATTACGTAAACAGCTTTCTCTTTTTGCTCCTTTTCTCCTTCCAATTGAAAACCCCAATTGTTTCTTTCTTCAGATACCTCACGCTCTGTCACTTTCCTCAAATATCATCTCTTACTCTGTATCGCCTCTGTGTTTCTTACATTATCATTACATTACTTCGCACACACCACAATACTGTTTTCCTTTGTTCCTAACGTGCAAGACAAATGTAAAACAAACTACCATTACTGCTACTTTACGTCTACCTCCAGTGCATGCGTACACGATGCTGGGAGGGCGGTGCGTGTAATCTTTTCAGCGGGTTTACGGCTGAAATGTTAAGTTCCTAGAGCGGGCCATCGTTACGTATATTTGTAAGAGCGCCACGTAGAGACGAATACAATTTCGGCATATGTAGTCGGAGCTTTTAAGGTGTCGAACACGAGGGGCTACTTTACACGATGCAGAACCCCCGGTCCTCCCCGCTGCGCCGCTGCCTCACGACTAAACCGGCGCCACGGCGCGGCCGCGCCGCTCGCGCCCGCGATGGTGGGGCACGATTACGTTCCACGTGACACGCTGGCACGCTGGCGCCGCGCTGGTGGGGGCGATCCGGTACGGGTCACGTGACCGAGCTGGCGCCGCCCTGGTGGGGAGAGTACCGGCTGCGGGGTGGCTGCGTTAGCCAGGTCCGCCAGACTCGCTGAGACTCGCCCGGCATTCTGACCTGATAAGTCACCAGTGTCGGATCGTGAGAAAGTGGAGAAGGATCCTCGCGCTCCTCGCATCCCGCAGGACATTTAAATCGTACGTAGGCCAGGCGGACGGAAGTACCGGCGGCTCGAAGTTCGGCGCTCCGAGAGAGGAAAACCGTTTCGTTCCTCGCGTTGGTCTACGAGAAGGAGGAAGGAAAAAAAAAAGAGAATCACCGTTCTCCCGCGCCGATCGAAGTGCCTGCCCTCCTCTCTCTCTCTCTCTCTCTTTCTCCCTCCCTCTTTTCTCATGACTCCCTCGGGAAACGGAACGTACTAGTCGCCAGTCGGACTTGGACAAGCACGAATCGCGCGACGATCAAGTGGCACCGGCCGGGAAACGCGCACACGCACTACGCTTATTTAATTAGGATCTCCCCCCCCGGGCAACTCGCGAACGTATTATTTATTACGCTTTTCTGTGCGCTTGATTCGCGGAATAACACGTGTGGGGAAGCCAAGCATCGAAGAAGAGGAACGCTTCTTCGTCGACCAAGAGAGAGAGAGAGAAAGAGGGAACAAAAAGTTTCTTCCCGGAAAGGCGAAGAAAATGTACATAGGTACGTGAGAAACTGACCGAGACGGACGAACACGCCTCCTCTCTCTCTCTCCCTTTCGCTCGCTCGCTCGCATCATCGTCGCAATTGCGACTTTGGCCCGAGCGCACACACACATACGCACACACAGACACATACCACGCGTGTACGTGCGTAGTCGTCATCGTCGTTTCGCGACTCGTCGCGAGGTGAGTGATCAGCCGTCCCTGCCTCGTTCGCTGTGAAAAAGGTGTTGAGTGTCCCCACTCCCTCTCTCTCTCTCTCTCTCTCTCACTCTCTCTCACTTTCTCTCCCTCTCCCTCTCTCCTCTCTCTTTCATCCATCAATCTCGAGACCTTTCGCGGGAGCACGTGGACGGAATACGTCCGGTACGTGTCCTCGGGGGACCTACGGTGGGAAGAAACCGAGAGAGAAGCCAGCTCGCGCGCGATCCTCGCCGTCATGGATCTTCTGTGCTGCGAGACGACGGAGACCGAGTTGCGGGCGTACGCCGACCCGGCCCTCCTGGGCGACGACCGGGTCCTGCAGAATCTCCTGCAGACCGAGGAACGCTACGCCCCGAGCCGGTCGTATTTCGAGTGCGTGCAGAGGGACATCTCGCCGCTCATGCGCAAGATCGTCGCCGAGTGGATGTTGGAGGTGAGCGAGCACGAGTTCTCTCCTTTCTTCCCACGTGTAGTACGCCGCGCGATCGCGTTAGCTCCGCGACCGACCGGCTCTTCGTTCGTCCGTCAGGTCGGATCGGTTCAGATCGGTTCGGATCGGTTCAGATCGGTTCGGATCGGATCGGGCTGGTTCCGCGAAACGTAGACCAGCCCGGCTGGGAAACGATCAGCTTCACCTTGGCGACCGAACGCGCCGCTCGGTTCTTCTCAGCTCGAATTCTTTATCACCGCGCGGTTAAATGTTGGGCGACGGCGGCGGATTCGCGCCCGGCGGCTCCGATCGTGTTTCACATGTCTCTTTTATTTCTCGCCTCGAGCGCGCGCCTTCCTGAAAGCGGAATCGCCGGGCGAGAGACAATTGAATCGCGATCGCGTTTAATTTGAATGCCAAAAGGAAATCGGCCCTGGGTGACACGTAACAATTCCGCATTTTGACAAATGCCGATTGCGGGGAGGAGAAGAGTAGGGGCGGTCTAAAAATAAAGCTTACCGCTGACCTGTCGGTCCCTGGCGCATGGCGGGCCGGTCGATTATTTTAGCTGCTTTTTTTTCTAGTTTCGTTCAACAACAAGTAGGACTGTGGGAAGAGAGCTATTCCCGATCTAATACATGTGTCTACACGGCCAGAGCCGTTTTTGTCCGTTCGCTGCAGAGTTAAAGGTCTCGATCTAATGTTGTGACTCGCTCGAGTCGCGTATTCTTAGACACGACCGCGCGCGACAGGAGCGATTTATTGCTCGTCGATTTAAAAACGTAATGAAGGTAATGCGGGCCGATCGGTGCTCCTGAGGCATGTATAATCGAATTGATTTTACGATCCAAATATACGCGCTCTGCGGGAACGGATGAAGGTCGAGTGAATTTCGGCTCTCACGATTACGTTCTCCCTCGAATACGCGGCTCGGTGTCGCGGGCGCGATATCGTTTTCTGCGTCGCGCAAGTTACATGTTTTTACGTTACATGCGACAGAATAAATTGATAAGCCGAACTTAACAGGCTGAAGCACCGCTAATCGCCGGGCTGAATATGTCAGCTGGTCTCTCTGTGATTACGTTAAGGATCAATACGTTCGTGGCATAAACCTCGCCGGCACAATACTTGTTGTATTTAGATTCCCCTCTTGTTCGTCCTCACCTCATATAACGCGTCGTAGCGATTTTCTAATCGCACACTACTGGAAGATAATTACAATCTCAATTTTCTTTGAAACACCACGAAACAAGACGTCTCGGAAGTTTTGTTTTTCGAATAAATTACGTCGGTCTCCGAGGCGAAAGTAATGACGGTGCTTAAGTAGCCTGCTGTCCGACGAGCGGCAAGAATCGGTCAGGATTAAAGGCGCACGATGCGCAATTCCCGCAAACGTCCGTCGAATGTTTTGGCAGCGAACGAAAACCTGTTGCCGCGTTTCTTTTGTCGCGACGGCATTGTGTTGCCGAGTCTATATGCTATATATGTATATATATACTCGCGCAAAACTCCTTGTCGATTTACGACGAGGCGAAGTCGACATTCTTTGTATTGCTACACATCGCATCTCTTGTTATCCGGACGATGACATGAATTTTAACCGTGAAATATATAAAGCCGAAAAACGTGTCGCCAAATCAACGCTGAGAGAAATGTCCGATTAATTATAATCGGATAGATAAATTTCATCGGATGTATCCCCCTAATTTAATCGTAATCGGAAGAATTAGGCCCGGTCTACAATGAGTTGTTAGTCGTTAGTCAGAAGTCGGAACTATATGTCGGTCCTTTTTCTTCCATCCAGAAAGGAAAAGGATCAACATATAGTTGCGACTTCTGACTAACGACTAACGACTCATTGTAGACCGGGCCTTAACCATCGGGAGCACTATTTGATAGGTTTGTCCGATGAAACTTTTTCTCAGCGAAGACACCCGTTTCTCAAATTTAAATGTCCGGATTGTCGCTGCAAAGGAATTCACGCGTGGACGTACTTTGGACGTTGGGTGTTTAACACGGAATTATAAAATGAACATTTTTCGAGACTCAATGTTCGAATCATCATTTATCTTATCGAGGAGACGCGATATAGAAATTGTTTCGAGATATCGAGATACAAAGGATAGTAGATCTCCCTCCGTTTTTCCGGTACAAAAAATATTCGTGCGTCATTTTAAACTTGTAACAAACTACACACCTATCCGTACGCGACCGATTATTCCGAGGGGTGAAGCGCCGAGGGAATTGTGGTGTACACACTGAGAAAATTTTTCCATCGGATAAGCCAATTAAATTGTGCTTCCGATGGTTAATTGTTCCGATTAACTTTTTCGATTAAATTATGTCCGATGAAATTTGATCAGAAAACCGATCATATTTTTCATCGGACATGTCCGTTTGTTATTGTGTAATTGAATTATCCGATTATATTTAATTTTTCTCAGCGCAGGTGTGCGGCATTGCTAAGCACTTTTAGGGCATTACTTTGGGCATTAGGCCTCGCTGGGGCGTTATAAAGATAAACAAAGATAAGATAAATGTCCACTGGCCATTAGTAGGCATTGGCGTACACGTCAGCGGTTTGGCCCTCGGATTATTCTTTCCGCCGTACGTTTTTCCACCTTCCGCAAATTCTTGGTATAATTCGGGAAACATTTATTCTCCGTAATATTGCATAACGTTGGATGGTCGCGGCGCAGCGACGTAACGTTTTTGACATTTCGCCGTCATTGAGCAGGAAATTCGGGCCGTCGCCGATAAGTTGCCCCTCAGCTTACGTCACCGCACGTATCCAGAGCCGCCGATAAGGGGATTGTATTCGCGATTGACATCATCCACATTGCGTTCTCGCCGATTAAAGAGCCAGAATCGGCGGCCGATCGGCCGAATATCTACGTGCTATCGCGCGGTTATCATTTTCCGATCCAAAGGCAGCGATCTCGAGGAGAATTCCGATGTGCCTACACGGGGAGTCGAGACGCTCGGGCACAAGATACTAGTATCCTGTCCGTATTCTTCTTCGTTCTTGCTCCCTCGCGCGATAACGATATTGCAATATCACGGCTCGCGTGTTATCGCGGGTCATTTGTGTCTAGCTTAATTAGGCTCGCTTGAATTAAGTGTATTCTTAGAGCGTCAAGATTAGACAGCCCGCGCCTGATAACGATTTCGCGACTCGAATCGAACGGAGCCAGCGATCGGCTTGGTACCACAGACTTGCACTAGACTTGTACTAGACACTTGCTACCTTCGGGCTGAAAAGTGAGGCAAGAGTCCCGCCATGCCTCGTTAGATAAATAAAGTAGGATGTGTGCATCGGTGTGTCGCTGACAGACAGACCCAACATGGCGGAACTCTTGTCTCGCTTTTCAGCTCGAAGATAGCAGGTCCGGTGGCGCGTAGAAGTCTGTGCTTGGCACGATATTCTAAACAATAGCGTTATACACGCGGCGTCGCTGGTTTGCTCGCCGAAAGTGACAACGGGAAACAAAAGGAAATCCCCTCGACAGAGGGACGGATCGGTCGAATTCCACCTTCACCATCTTTCGCCCGACTTTCCCCTTCGTCGGACATAGTCGGGCGGGTGTTCGCTTCCGGACCGGGCCAGACCGGAATTCCGTCGCGTTCCTCCGGAAAGCCTCGCTTCACGTTCCTCTCGTTTCAATCGGAGCCGAAACGATACGAGTGTATCGCATAGCGCTCACGCACCGATAGCGTGCACCGCTTGCTCTCCCCAGCACAAAGGCCCAAACTGTTTTCTTTCGCCGTTGACAGCTAGAAAGCGTCTTCCGCGACGACGTAGCGCCCCGATAAGCCGGTCTCCGCTTTCGGTACCGAGCGCATTACCGCCGTCCACTTTATGCTTTCGAAAGTCCGTCTATCGCGTTACCGAGACTAGTTGCGACACGTTATCTGTATATAAGCAGAATTATCGCCGATATCTGTCTCTGGCAGGGATACTTGCTCGGTGGCAATAATCAATGACGGCCGAATTTTTACCGACGTCGTGAGAGTTTCATCGATTCTTTCGTGTGTGCCGCAAGGAATTCATCGAGGGGGGGACCGCTGAGGGCATTGTGGCGTACAGATTTGCGGCATTACTGGGCATTACTAGGCATTGCTACGCATTTTTGGGACATTAGTTTGGGCATTAGGCCTTACTGGGATATTATAAAGTTAACACAAGATAAAATAAGATAATAGGATAAAGTAATGCCCGCTGGGCATTAGTGGGCATTGGTGTACAAGATTTTGGTCAGCGGTTGCCGCCTCGGAATTCATTGATTCCTCATTCGTTAATATCGTTCTACAGATAAGTAATGATAATACAACAATGAGAAAAATGCCCGATTAAATATAATCGGATAATCCAATTACATAACAACGGGTGTATCCAATTAAATTGTATATCCGATGAAAAATATAATCGGTTTTTCAATCAAATTTCATCGGATAAATTTCATCGGATGTATCCATAATTTAATCGGAAGACGTAACCGGAAAACTTAACCATCGGAAACACTATTTAACAGGTTAAAATTTTTCTCAGTGAATACAGAATTTTATGTATATACAATATGTAAACACATTACTTCTCTGATTAGGCAGCTGAATTACTCAATTTAGTGCAACAAATTTTTCCGTATTTAACGCGACGTATCATCGGTACGGTAGACGAATCGATCTTACGGCGTAATTTCTTCGCGCAACTTGCGATAGTTCCTCGCGGTTTTGTCGCCTCGTTCTTTTCTTCGAGCATTTAATTGCTCCTGCGCCCCAGACATTTAATCGCAATAACCGAATTCACGCGATGACCTCGACGATGTTGTTCCACGACGAAAGCGAGTCGCCTGGGTCGCGCACGCAGCCGCGTGTACGTGCACGCGTGCCTATATGTGTGCGCACGCACGCGTGTCGCAGACATGCATGCCGAGTCCGCATCGCGCTCGTCGAATTCTTCGACAATGCGCTCGTCTATCCCCGGCCGAGGCGAATGACAGGTTGTCATATGCGCCGAATATACCCGGCCTTTAAAAGCGACTGCAGCTAGCGTTAATCGCAATTCTACAGGGTGTTCTAGGCTTATTTTTCTTCCGTCTCGGCGAGCTTTGATTCGCCAAGGAAATTAGATTCGAAACGGTCATTACAGGTGCGTTTATAGCTTTCAAAGATTAGACATCTTGACAATTAAGAGCGAGGGAACGTTTCGTTACGGACGGAGCTTATCTCGATCATGGATCAAGACGCTTTTCATTCAAAGAGAAAACTAGGGCTGTAATTGAGCTTGTTGAATAACTAGCCGAGGTTGAGAATTGAACAAAGTAACTTGTGAAGCCAGTAATTCCGTTCTAACGGCGACGAACGTGTAATCTTTCGATGGCAATCTCAAATTCGGTCCTTTTAGTTCCGCGAATTATTAAAGACCCGCACACAATCCGCTCTTCTCTGGGGGGGAAAAAAGACAGCAACCCATTTTGGGGCCCACAATCAGCAATCGAACCACTTGGACTGTTCGTAACTCTAATCTTTTACGAATTTACCCCGCGTAACTAAAAGTCACAATTAGCTATTCTATCTATACCCAAGATTTTTAAGTAATACCAATCAATTCTCTCAATTAGTCCCGTAGGTACTCAGTAACGCAAAGATAATTTTCACCTTAACAGGCACAAACCAAAATTGTGTTGGCCCCAAAATGGGTTGCCCACTGCCTTTCTTTTCCCCAGAGTTATGTCGAGTACGTCAAGCGAGCACTTAAAGACACGGGATGTGGTGCTTCCCTAACTCGCATCCCCGATTAATTTCTCGCACGTCACTCTGTATATGAACTCGCGCAAATGCTGCTGATAGCGAAAGTGTTGAATTACCGAGTCGCGAAACCGCGCCGTGGGCAATTGGACACCGGATTTGTACGGGTTACTTCCCCGTCGAGTTCTGGATTCCTTGCGTATACGCGTGCTTTCCTTGAAAGCGCTGCTCGGACGGGCCGAAAGACCGATTGTTATCTATGCACACGAGACACAGCACCGGTCGCGGTCGGCTTTATCGGCGGCAATTCTCGCTTAATTGGCGCCGAACTTACAAGGGAGATCGGCCGGCTCGATAGAGTCACGCAGATAAGAGTATTAGAATTCTTATTAAAATTCTAAGCCGATTCATCTTCGACAAAACCTCGAAATATATTCGCTGTGATTATCGATTAAAGGCGCGTCGCCGAAAGAACTTTGGTACATAAGTTGCCTCACTCGGTCAGCACTTAAAATAAATACTTTTAGAGATATTCGTGCAGCAATACGATACGCAGACACGTATCGTATTCAGCAGCGATGTGATTTATAATATCAAAAGTAAAAGTATGTTATTACCAGCATGCCCCGCGGCTTCGCCCGCGACCTAACATACTTGGCTCTCACGTGTGTCTCTTTCCCTTTAAAATATATTTAAAAAAAAACGAAAATTTCCTATCTAAAATTCAAAGATTTTAAATAAAATTATTCGGTATTTTTATATTTATATGAGATATAATAATTCGAAAAATAGAATTTGTACAGACAATTCTTGATTATAATCCGTATATGTGAATCTAGCAACTTTTCAAATTGATAATTTAATGGAGTTTCATTTCAGGAGTTTGTAATAACGCATTTCTAAGAACTGTTCCCAGACGCTCTCGAAACAGCTATTAACATTTGAATTAAATCTGTTCATGTTCTTGTCAAATATATTATCTGCGCGTGCGCATTCTCGAAATAAATAACTTATAGCGCTCCTAAAATGTTGTAGAAACAACTATTAAAAATTCAGTAAAATCAGCCCAACGGTGTATAACAATATTATTTGCGCATTACTATTTCGTATATTATTTCGTATTATTGTTTTGCTATGAGAATGTTACGAAAATAGGGTATTAATATAATATGAAAGTAACATATTACACAATGTACAGCGAAGAATTATAGGAATGTCTTTTCTTGATGACTCGCGGCCTCGTTCCGCCGCTTGTGCATTTTGTGGATTCTCCTTTGCTCCCAACTTGGAGCCCGCTCCACTTCCGTCGATGTTTGAACAGATGCAAGATAATCTCTCGAACCGATTTCGTCGAAGAATGCCGTTGAGGAGAGCGTGTCCTCGACTCCCTCGGGATAATTAATATTGACCGATATTACAGAGAGGGAACAGACGTGGAAAGTTTCGCCGAGCATTGTCTTTGCCGGCAACACTTTCGCCGGAGCCTCTCCAGTTTCGTTTTCTTCCTACTTTTCTACGGGCGGAACCAATCTAACATACGATTTTCGTCGATTTGGTGTAGCGCGATTATTTCGTTAAGCCCATGTTACTAATTGGTGGCGGCGGCGGCGAGGTAATTACGAGAGTGTGCGTGCGTGCGTGCGAACGTGCGTGCGAACGTGCGTGCGTGCGTTGTGCGTGCGTGCGTGCGTGCGTGCGGCAGCGAGGCTAGCTGGCTGGCGATCGTTGGTCACGCTCAATAAGTTCCTCTCACGCGGCTCGACAACGCGCGATCACTCGGCCCGGCACCCCGAGGCGCCTGGGCGAAGTTAATTCGCGATCCTACCGCAAGTTCAGCGGTCCCCGAAACTTCAAAGGCGCCCCGGGGCCCGGCGGCGCGCTGCGATTTATGTAAACACGCGGTAATAATAAACATGCGGCAATAAACGCGATAACAAATGAAAAATGCGACTCATTCCGCGCTCGCCGCGATTGCCGCAGATGCACGCGATAAATCACCGATAAGATACCGGGGATTCCTTTGTTTTTAATTCATCCGATCGAGTGGAGGAGAGTATAGGCCCGCGCTGGAGCGCCGCGAGTGTCTCCCGGATAAATTTGTAGACGTCAACGCTATAGCGAAATGCAATTAGCTATCTTTACGACAGGTAGTTAATCCATTTTCCGCGATAAGATACGCCTTGTTCTGTCCGCCGGACCTTTGCGGAGAGATGCTCGAGTCTCGCGGCGAAATTCGCCCGACGGGAGTATCCCAAAAAGTCGGAAAGTTTTCCGACCCGCGGTCGTAGCGACAGTGTCACGACCGCGCTTGTTAAAACACGATTGAAGGAAATCCGGTGCGATATTCGTGCCTACGCGTGCGCCTAGGTTTTACGATTGTCGTGCGAAAATTCGCTTCCTCTCTCCCAACGTGAAATCCTTCGAGCGTTAGGACACGTAAAGAGAAAGACGTCTTGGGAGGGAAGTGAAACCGCAGTCGCGAATCCGTCCGAAGTAGCGAAGAAGAGTTGTTGGTGCCGAGCCACTTGTGGATCCTCCACCACCACGCGCGTACACGTTCGATGTTTTCGCGAGATATCTACCCGTTACGCGTTACGCGTTCAACGCAACGCCGAACTCGCGAGCTAAATTTGCATCGCGGGCTGCGTGTCCGGACGTTATCGCGCGGCGACTACTCCCTCGTTCGCGCCCGACCTTGAAGCGATCTCCCGTCGTCGCGTTATCGCGCGACGTGCGTGCGTTTACGTTGGTGCGTAATGTAATGCATCGTCCTGTGCGTTGCAGGTATGCGAGGAACAAAAGTGCCAGGACGTGGTCTTTCCCCTGTCGATGAACTACGTCGACAGGTTCCTCTCGATCTGCCCGATCAGGAAGTCGCAGCTACAGCTGCTCGGCACTGCCTGTCTGCTGCTGGCGTCCAAGTTGCGCGAGACGTCGCCGCTCACGGCCGAGGTCCTGGTGTTCTATACCGACAACTCCATCACCCTCGACGATCTATGGGTAAGTGTGCACGAGAGGAAAAGCGATATCCGGCGAGAGAGAGAGAGAGAGAGGCCGCCGTTTATTTACTGTTTCGAACGCACCTCCGCTCGATATTTTGTGTCACAATGTGGCAGTAACGAATTGCGTATTAACTTTTTGACCCACATAGACGCAAATCGCGACTTTATCTTATCGCAGAACTGTTAAAAGGTCTCTGCAACAAGCGAATTATCTGTAAGTGCGGACAATCGTACAACAATAAGTCGCAGTGGTGGGCAGTTTACGAATATTAATCGGCTAACGGCGCAGAAAGTCGCCCTATATCGCCTTACAGTTACAGATGCAGTAAAAAAGTAAACGGTTTCCCGTACATCCCTCGTTAACAAACAAACTTTTCGGAGTGTGAGGTTCTCATTCGCGCCGATCTCGAGCGCCAGTTTCTCTGGGTCTGGCCCGGACTCGCTAACGCGTTGTACGGACAAAATCGGACGGTCACCGCGGCACGTGCGAACGAACAAGGCACACGCACGGTACCGCTAGTCGCGCGTACTCGTTGCATAATTCCACGGTGTTTTACCAACGCGGCGAGAGACCGAGGAGAGGCCGGCGATTTCCGCGATGCGCGCCGAGATCTCCGCGGGGGCGATCGGTATCGGGCGCGATTTCGTTGCCCCGTCGTGCGTGCGGAATGCAGAGTAACGACCGACGCGAATAGGAGCACGCGAGGAAATCGCACTCCGCGATCGACTGAGATTCATATATGTATCTGGGCTGTTGACGATCGGCGACACCGCCAAACGTCCCGCGCGCGTTTGAAGACGTTAGGGAGACATGCAAAGATACTCCCCGGCGTGGATCGCCGTGGTAGAACGAGCCGAATTCACAAAGTAGCGCGACGACTTTTCCTTAAACCAGTTCTCCGCTAAATCTTGATCATCGAGTTAAAATTACCGGATCTTTAAATAAGATCTTTTGGGAAAAGGAGTTTTTTTTTATGATAAGCGATTTTATTAGATAAAGATAATTCAGAATTGTTATTCATCTTTCCACGGTTCGCGTAGCAGAATGGACGTTTACGTTTTAATCTATTTAAACAAATAAAATATCAACGAGAATCGGTATCTCTAAATTTTTGCATTCGTTAGCTTTTAGATTTTATTATTCTTTAGAAAAAGTAAATCGATGTGTTTGTTACTTGCCTCAAGACGTCATGATTTCTAACGATGAGGAATATATTGTAACAAATGTATTCCCAATTTATCTATGCGCCATCGGCTTTGCTTCTATCGTTGAGACCATCTCTATATATCGTCTTAACCGACCTCTTTCATATTAATACAGTGAAACTTTTGTGGGTGAAATTTGAGGCACGTGTACGATTGGCGACAGCGTCGAATTTGTTTTCCGGATTCAGGCAAAATCCGCTCCGTGTTTCTTACGCGGGCCTTGAAGGGACAAAATAACAATATTGGAAGTTCTTTAACTCTATTTCGCGAGGAGAGAATTTGCGTCTGACGAAGAGGAAGAGCTTCACTGTTTGTTTTTACGAGCGTTGACCCCCGGTGTACGATACCCAGTGTGTATATAATCGATACAAAGTATCGAAAATAGCGATCGATCGGCACAATCGATGTATATTAACACAATTATGCTTTGCTTTTAAATTCGTCGCGGAAGTAGATATTTTTGAAATGTTCAAGAAAATCTGTAAATCAATTTATCGGACAAGATTCATAAATTTGTTTAGCCTTCGCAACGAGAAGACATGCGATCCTCGTCTCGTCAAACGCTTGCCATTACACTACTTGTTTAACTAGATTCGATGGCGTTCCAAACATCAAAATATTCTGCTTGAAAAGGGCCAAAACCCATGGCCGAAACGTTGTACGTTTAAGTAATAAATTTGCCGGATTGGTCGACTCCAGCATTATCTCTTTTAATTACCACTGGCGACTTATCATAGTATCAATACATTCATAAATTTGATTACTTTTTAATTTGATAAAAATATAAGCCTGGCTAAATTAAATTATTATTTTGTAAAAGAGCAATCTGGAGATCTGAATTGGAAATTTCTGTAAAAATAACATTTAAAATTTTAAGAGGTGCCAAAGAGAGAGGAAAAAGACTTAAAAAAAATGTTTGTAGTCTAGAAGGTAAAGTAAAGAGATAATCTTAATAATGGTAAAGTTATAATCCTACTGCAAAAACCTCAGACACCCATTGTCTTGCGAATCATAAAAAAACAGTAGTTCCTCGTTTTTTTTTCCGGTATCTCTAACGAGGATCTTAAAGAAAATTCGAGAGGTTGCTTTAGTCTCGCAAAAAAAAAGAGGTGGACCTAGACTTCCAAACCGGTCTCGGAGCATACGAGATTAAAGACGCGGATTTTGTTAAATGCGCATGTTTTGATCGCGATATCCTGCCGCGTCTACAATAGTCTCGAGTAGACTACATTACTGTGGCGGACAGATCATAGATTAAATGCGTATCGACCGGTCCGAGCACACCTATTCGTCGCGCAAAGTTGCAACGAAAGCGTCGAATCGTGTTCGTTAGGCGAATGATACGGCTTGTCCGGGAGCGCAATTTTCAATGCGAGATGGTCCAACCGACGGTGACGTGGCTCCACGTGGACTATTTTGGGCCGTACCAGGCGGTCTTCGGCTATAATGGGATGGCGATCATATCTCTCTCTCTCTCTCTCTCTCTCTCTCTCT